AATCTGAGGGTTTATGAACTTTGTCTGCGAACATGCTTAGCATTTCCAGCATTAGCTCCTGAGGGTTTATGAACTTTGTCTGCGAACATGCTTATGTTTTTAAAAATAGGATAGCTAAAGTTATGCGTCGTTAGCATGTGGTCATTGTCTAGAGCTTTAATTTTTCAACTTAGTATAAATAAAAGCAAGAAAATAGCGAATTTAAACTTGACTCTTTTGTATGAATGTTACAAAGTCGTTGCTTGTGTAAGACTTAGTAATTCTGTTGCGTAGATTATTTCAAGAACAATTTATATTCAAGCCTTATTTTTTTTCTTAATATTTAAATTTTGGGGTTTTTAAATATCAACTACCAAAAACTTTAAATATAATGTGTTGGCCACCTAAACTTGAAGGAGCAATTACATATAGACCACCTGAAACTTTTGATTTATAAATCGGCCATCCTCTTTCATCCATTTTTCAAACTCTCGCTCAAATATGAAAATTCATGGTACAGTCCGAACACATTTTTTTTTCATTTTTATCAATTCTTCGATAGTTCCAAAAAATCACCTGGATGGTTAATTTGTAAATATCAATATTTCAGGTGATATGTATGCAATTATCCCAAAATTAAAATTTAAATTCCAACCATCCTTAATTTTTTTTTTTCTTTAGAAACAAAAACGATTAATCCATTTTATTTAAAGTTTTGGGTGATTTTTGGGTTGTTGAAATATAAAATTTTAAGTTTGGATGATCAATTCATTTTATTTAAAAATTTGGATTGTTGATATGATAAAACCCCTTTTAAAAAAATGAATGAATAAACAAAAGTTAGTCTTATTCGAGTGAATACTCATAGTCGCATACTCGCATAAGCCATAAAGTTGTTCTATTAAAACGTTGGATGGTTTTATCCGAATAGTAGAAGGGGTTTTTACATTCATAGCACCCAAAATATTCTTATTTATATATTTCATACCCCAAAAGTTAATGTTATAAAATTCAAACTTCCGTTAATAATTCCGTTAAAGGCGTTGCCTCGCAGCTCGATTGCCAAACCAGGAAGCCAAATCTTCAAGCCCATCCTTCTCCCTTGCTGCATACACAAATCTGCTCTCTTTCATCGTTCCAGCCGGCAACACCTGGACATGCAACCCATTTATCCTTCTAGGCTCCTGTGCAGCGAACAGCTCCCTCTCATCTACCTCAGATCTCCCCGCAGCAGCTCCCTCTGCCTCCACCGTGAGGAGTTGCGGGTGTTGCCTGCATTGGTTTGCGGGTAAAACAGGGAGAGGTGTGCCCAGGAAAGGAAACACGAGCGCATGCATGGGTTGGTTTGCCAGGTCGGGTGGGAGCGATGTTGGCCAGAGCGGCCGTAGAGAGGGGAAACACGATTCGGGACGGAAGTAGTGTTGTTAACGGAATTATTTTAGGAAGTGTTAATTTAATAATATTAACTTTGAGGTGTGAAATATATAAATGATAATATTTCAGGTGCTATGTATTTAGAAATCCCATAATATAATAGTTAAATGAGCCAATTTTAGTAGTTGTCCCATGAACCCATGCCTGATATCCCCAGATGAACCCAATAAAAAAATGGTGTCAGGAAATTACTATTTAAATAGTAATATTATTTTAAAATTGTACGTGTAAAATATGTCGGCATGAATCTCAAGACGGATGAATGGCTTGGGAAGAAACGATCGATCGAACGAAGATGTTGACTGTTGTTTTAGTTATACACTAGTGAGAGAGACGTCTAGTTTGGGCGGTCGGCGAATATGCCAGAAGATTTCTCGCAATGCAATGAACAACCTTCAGGACGATTGATAAGAAGCATCCTTTCAGGTTAAATATCGATCAGATTAAGCATTGTTGGACGATCAACGATCTCTTGTTGATCAAATCAGTTTCCCGATCTTATTTAATTTAAATAATTTTATAATTATTAAGAAGTATCTCTAAAAAGTCAATGATGATGGGAATAATGTAGTTTTTTAATGCGGGATCTATGTTTATAAATAAGGGGCCCATGTCGTGAATAAATGCTAGACTCTTTTTTATTGTTCTTGAATGTACTCTCTCTCTCCTTCCCTCCCCTACAAAACGCTCTATACCTTGGGCGTTTTCTCACATTGTCGGATTCAACATTCTTTAAGTTGCGGAGAGTGTAGAAATATGTCGTTAACAAGAAGATAACCCCACAACAACAGCAGGGAGAATCCAGTCAGAGGAACATTGTGAAAGTAGCATGCACTAGGGAGTTCTTAGAAGAAATTTTTTAACAAGGCCTGCAAGGTTTGAGAACTCAGATCACCAAACAAATGCCGGGACAATTTGCAGAGGTGCTCAAAGCCACGATTGCCTTGGGAGCAGTCCCAGACATAGTGGGAAAACTAGCCTAGCGTGGAGCGCTTAAACTCCCTCAGGGAGAACCACCAACAAACAATGAAGGAAGAGCGATCCAACTATAGGAGAAGCTTGATGACGGGTTGTACCAGGACTTCGTCGGACCATCCCCTCTGGAGTAGAGGAACCGAGTAACACGCAGGACTTCGTCGAACCATCCCCTCTGGAGTAGAGGAACCGAGTAACACGAACCGAAGCATAAGAAATGAATATATTTTCTTAAAACCTCAGTTATATTTTCAAACAACTAAATTAAAAGAGCTCAATAATATATCTTCACCTCCATTGATGTAGGTACCACCTCACAAATGTCATATTCTACAGTAATGGCTAAGACTTTTATCATTTATCCACCATTAAAATTTCATGGAGACAAGAATAGGAGAACAGAGAGTTGTTTGGCTTTTGAAAAAAAATGCTGAACTCTCAAGTTTCTTGAGACATTTGTCACATATAAAAAATTTAGAAGTTGGGGAACATCCCATATAAAGCAAATTGAGTTAAATTTTCCTTTCAAAATTCTTCCCAACTCAAATTCTACTCAATCAAACACAATGCACTTCAAAATGTAATAAGAAATAAAAACAATGCAATTAAAAGATATAATACATAAAAAAAAAGCTGAGAATAATACTATGTTAACAATATTTGCCAACTAAATATTTATTTTTATATGAACCCTTGTTGGAGGTTAAAAAAAATTATGATAATATAAATCTCAAGTAGAATTTGAATTATTTGATACTCAATTATAACTATACAAACTTATTATCAATTAAATTGATTTTTTTTACTGTAATAATAATTTCAATAAAGGTGTTAAAAAAATATTTAACCTAGTGGGAGTGTTTGGACTATAGAAATAAGCATATATATGATAATAGCGTTACACATGCTTACAAGACAATTCCCATCAGACACCAAAATATAAGCATCCTATGTGAATTTATTTTACAAGTTTTAGTGATGAACTAAATTTTTAGGAAAATGTGTTCTATTTCATCCAAAAAGAAAATGTCATGTACAAAAATTATGGGGCATTTGTTTTCACCTTAAACAAAAAGAAAAAATTACAATAAATCACTTAGGGGCAATTTGGAATATTTAGCGAGGCAAAGCTGGGGCCGTGGGGTCGATCCCATGGCCCGCTTTCCCCCCATTTTAGCGTCATTCCGTCACGCGAAGTTGGGAGCCAAACACGAATATTTTGCGACTTGGGGTCGCGCCGCGCGAAAAAGGCGACCCCAAACAGATCCTTTATTCAACTAAGGGTGCATTTGTTTTCACTTCTTGGTCAGATTTTTGAACTGCGTTGATCAAACGCTCGTTCGATCGTTCCCGATTGAAACCCCGGAGTGCATTTCACCCTGCCAGCAAACGTGACTTCCTTCCTGCATCCGCTTTTGCACATCTTCTTTCGGATACGATGTGCTCGTGCACGCATGAGCGTGGCCGCGCTGCTACTGCAGTGCCCCTACACTGCTTGCGATGCCCCAGTGCTGCTTGCTTGCTGCGGTGCCCCTACGCTGAGTCATGTTTTTGCATTCTACCCAACGTCTCTTTGAATGACAATTACAATGAGGGACTACTTTCAAGCATTAATTCAAAATAAACTTAAGATTTTATTCACCATAATATTTGATTATGATTTTAACAAGAACGAAGATGCAAATCCAATTCAAATAAATTTTCTACCCAACCTAATTATACAAAATTTTAATGTAAAGCAACAAGAAAAGATGGACTAAAATGAAATAGAATTATATTCAATTAAAAATAAGATTTTCATCTTACCTTATGTAAGAAACTAAAATATAATGAAAAAAAAAATTATAGCTAACATAATATAATATTTTGATTCAAGCTAACTTGAAAATTTTAAATAAAGTAACATAAAACTTTTAATCACAACAGATAATTGTAAATTTAAACATCACAAATAGAAATTAAATTAAAGTAATTTTTCTGTAAATAAAAATATAAATAAATCAAAATAACTTGCTTATAATCTTTTGAAGGAATAAAATAAAGACTCCATAATTTGCTGGGTGTTTTGAAATTTAAGATCTGATTAAATCAATGAATTATGTTTGGCTTACCCAATTATGGAAAGAATTTACATGAATTAATTAACTAGCATATTTTTAATTTATGTAATAGAAAAAACATAAATATTAGTGAATTTTCTGTGGTATAGGATTTCTTTTATTGTTATAAATGCTTATTTTTATTTAATCTTTATATAATTTCTTTGTAAAATATATGCATTTGATATTTTATTTCATCTTATGATGCCTTTAGCTAAAATATAAGAATTTATACGGTTTATAGTAATAATTTGTAGACCTGTTGACCTCACTTGTTTAAGGCCATGGTTACAGGTAGTAAATAGTAGAATTAGGATGATGACAAACAATTGCAGTTGTTGATAGCTAATAGAGACTGACCATAGGTTTATCAATTGTTATATTTCTAACAAGATTGTTCCTTTAACAGCATGAGTTTTATTTAACATGAATAGCTTTCCATGTATCACCAGTTATGCAGCTGATATGCATCATAAAAAAAAACTTCGATTTTTCTTAAACTCAATTAATCTTTATTTCACTGCAATGACATCCTCTGAGAGCTAAATGACCTCTGTGCCAGATAATAGTTTTTGCCCAACAAAAAAAAAAAAATTATTGTGAATAAAGAGAAGTGGCTTCAAGACCAGCACTCTCAATGCTGAACACCACACTAACATTATTCTTAAGAAAACTGGAGTACCAATGTGCTGAAAGCTTAGGCGTTCTATGCCGTTTCTCATCATCAAAATCCACATGGTAGAGTCCAAATCCTTTTTTGTAGCCACCCAAGAACTCATAAACATCAAGAAAAGACCAAACAAAGTATCCTCTAACTTGTACGCCACTCCTGCATTTTGATAAGAAAAAAAGTGTTTAAAATTTAATGCACTGTTTTCTTAAGTCAATTTTTGTAACAATAATGCTTTATAGGTAAAAATGCAGCACTACCTGCTGGCTTCAAGTGTGCTTCCAATGTAACCTTCTAAGTATGCAATCCTCGCTGTATCATTTAAAACGTTTTCAAGTCCAGCAGCAAAGCCTAAAAACAGAAACACGGATGAGGTGTTAGATGAGTAATGGTTTATTGTATGATGCTGCAAATCCTTTTATATTTATAAATTACTTACCATTCTCATGGATGTAAATTGGAGGATTCCCATACTTCTCCTTGAGATAATGCAACATCTTCTCAAGTCCAGAAAAATCTTCTGGAACACGAGTTGGTAGAAACTGGTACAAGAGACAAGTTCACACATTTCAACGCAAGGATGCCAAATTCTAGTGAGGATTAAGAAATGAAAGCTGCTTACTAACCGGGCCCATGGTTGGTGGATCATTCTTATTAACTGCGAGAGAATTTTAAAGTATTTCCATTTTCAATATCAAGAAGTGCAAAAATTTTTAACAGAAAAAAACACCTTTTCTGGAAAAAGAGTACAAAACCTCGCATGATGGCAGCCATATCTGCTTGGAAACCACTAGCGCCTGCCTTGGAACTATTGGAGTTATCACTGATGTACCCTGATGCATAATAGTTTATAGCCATAAAGTCGAATGAGCCCTTTAATACTTCTGACTGAGAGTTGGTAAATGAAGGCAGCCTTGTGCTAGCAATACTCTTCATCAGCTCAGGATAGTCTCCAATTGTTACTGGACTTAGAACCCTGCATTTCAAGTAGTCAGGCTATAAAATTATGTTGACTTTTATTATATTTTGGTGTTATCTTATTGCTAAAGAGGAATTACAAATTTAAACCACTGTTGTATTATCCTATTTATGTTCATAGTCTAGACTTCTAAACACAGACAGTTGCTTCAAAATAATAGTGTATGATAACTACTGTGCCATTAACCCACAATAGCATACAAGTACAATATCATGATCTGACTTCATAATTTCTGCCCTTTATTGGCAAAGTCAAGTTAAAACTCACCAGTCAAACATGAAGCTCTTTACTCGTAATGTCGCTTCAAGATCCGCAGAAGAGTTTGAAAATGGTTGGCACCAGAAAGAATAAATATTCAGTCCAATCCAGCCCCCTTGATAGCGCTGTTTGTGAACAGATTTGTCATTGCTATAATATTCATGAAAATAAGAATTGAAGATGCTACATTGTCTAAGAAGTAAGGAACTAATCATCCTCAACTATTTACACGATTAAAAGTTTGCCAAAAAAAATATTGAAAATTATATATCTCTTGGCAGAACAGAAACTTGCAGAAGCCAGAAGTGTAATGTTACTGGTTGCCTTCGTTATGTTTCTTAGCATATTAAATATCATGCTCAAAATATAACAAAATATACAATTCCCATTGCATTTATTTATTTATTTTAATAAATTTTAGTGTTATTGAGATAAGAAAGACACCTGATATTTTGTTCTGTATAGTCTAACAGCTTCTGAATGTGCTATTAGCATATTGTGAACCTTAATGTATATCCAATCTGCTGAACTGTCAGCATAGCAATTGATGGTTTCAAATTTTGGAGAACACCAAGAGTGCGGGACGAAATCACCCGTTAACCCAATTATGTTTGGCTCAGTAATGGTGGTCCAGTGAGAGACCTTACTGCCAAATTCCCTGAAGCATACATCTGCAAATTCTTTGAAATCCTTGCTGCACAATTTCAAAAGAGGAATGATCATGCTACTAAATCTGTGTTATGTTCTTGAAGTTTTCAGTGGTCATGAATTTACACAATCTTAGGGCTTAGCCATCCTCCATACTCATCTTGAAGAACCTGTGGAATATCAAGATGATTAAGTGTAACATGCGCCGGAATCCCTGTAAGGTAACATTCAAGTTAGATAAACTTTGTATGCAATTGATCAAACTACATAAGTTCGTTGATTTAAATTATTTAAGCATAAATGTTGTGGGTGGTTTTAAAAAATTGAAATTAAGAGAAAAAGAATAAGCTCAACAACATGAATCCTAAGAAATCCTTTTTGTAATTTTTGTATGAAATTAAGTTTTCATTTTCTTTTTGAGTATCATATAAAAAATATTAAAAAAAAAAAATTTTATAAACTAAGAAAAGATGTTGAGGTATCTTGTTAGGTATGGCTCATATACTATATAAGGGATATATGATGGAACGTAGCGGTGTGAAGCGGCAGAATCTGTTCAATCTGGGGTGTTTCGTTATGTGAGTTGGGGGTGTGATGACAACGCCTCACAGTATGGTACAAGGATAATTTTGTAATTACATATTGTACTTCAGAGTTTATTCCAGGACTATATATATGATTGTTTGTAACCCTAAAGAGTATCTTATATTCTGTAAATTTTTTTTCTTGAGTTAAGAAAGCTGTCGTTCTACTCTTGATGATATAGGTATCTTTGCCGAACTTTGTTAAATTTCTATGTTCTTATGAATTTGTGTCGATTCTTATTTTTCTTGGTGCTAATTTCTCAACGAGTGTTATTAAAAATTGGTTGATGGCCAAAAAAAAAAATAAAAATATCGGCGCAGAAATGACGAATTTTGGCAATTTGGTTCGGCTAGGGTTCTGACGTTTTGGCACACGGTCGAATCTGCCCTAGCTTGGCGCAAGAAGACGAAGTTTGGCGGTTCGGTGCAGGTGAGGGATTGACGATCGTGGCAGAAGGTGCTCTCGTGCGATCAGTAGCTCAGAGAGGAGCAGTTCGGCGAATTTTCGGGAGGGCTTTTTTTTTTCCTGCGTTTTTTTTCCACCCTTCTTTCCCGCGACCGACGGTTCTTCCAGCAGCTTCGGGAAGCAGGTTCACGACAGGCTTCGGGTTGGCGTGACCGACGGGTATTCCAGCCGCGACGGAGGGATTCACAGCATCGGAACCAGGCGGTTTCATCCGAGTTGGCGAGGGCTTGTAACCTAGAAAAAGTTTTGAGATGCAAAATTTGATGCGGCGAAGTTTGGTGGAATTGATAATTTTGGATTGTGTCAAATGAAATAAGAGTCAACGGTTTGTTGGCGCAATAATGGATCCTGAAGACTTTGCGGGCAATGGAACCAGATGTTATGGAGGATAAAGATTGAGAAAAATTACAACAATGAGCGGCAGTAACCATACGTTCATGTCTGACCAATAAAGCTATGTATCACGTGATGAATCTAGAATCTCCAAGTGATGTATGGAAGAAATTGAAAACTTAATTTATGTCTAAATCTCTGATGAATAAATTGTATCTAAAACAAAAACTGTATGGACTGAAAATGCAAGAAGGTTTTGATTTGACGCAGCATGTGAATGACTTCAATCAAATAATCATAGATTTATCACGGCGTTATGTAAATATTGAGGATGAAGACTGAACAATGATTTTGTTGTGTTTACTGTCTTCTTACTATGAACATCTGGTGAAACTTTTACTTATCGAAAAGAAATCATAAAAGTTGATGAGATTACTGCAACATTGTTGGCTCACAACCAGCGGAATCCGAATGCAGGAGAAAGCTCTCATGGTGATAGTTTATATGTTAAGGGTAATCAGGATCGTTGAAGAAAGAAAGAGAATGTGGGTTTTGAAAAGCAAAATTTCATATCAAAGTTCAAAGGCAAAAAGACAATTCATTGCTGCAAGTGCAAGGAGTCGGGTCATATGAAGAGAGATTGTCCAAAGTTCAAGGAACTAACTGGAGATAAAGGTTATACATCATTCAAGTTTGTAAATGTGGTGCAAAGTGACAATTCAGATTGCAGTGATAGTGATATGTTTTCATTTTAATCAACTCAGTTCATGGATGCATTGATTCTTGATTCAGGGTATTCTTATCAAAAAACACCTAATATGGAGTGATTTACTTCATATATGTTAACTAATTCTGACTCAGTCTATTTAAGTGATGATAAATGTTGCAATATTATTGGTATTGGTGAAGTCAGAGTTCAGATGTATTTGATTTCCTTGGGCATTTTACATAGAAATGATTTTATTCCTAAGACAGATGAGGATAGGGAAACCATCAGAATTATTAAGGGTTGCATTGACAGTGATGAAAAAAAAATTAACTACAGATAATACTACAAATTGTTGGGGAGTACAGTTGTAGGTGAAGTTCATTCTGTGAAGTCAGATGATGAGCAAAGCTATGATATATGCGTCTGGGTCATCTTAGTGAACGTAGGATGACAGAATTGCATAGAAGAAATCTGTTTCATAGTGTTAAAACCTGTAAGCACAATATTTTTAAGTTCTATGTTCTTGGAAACAGACTAGAGTCAGTTTTATTACTGAAAAGCATAAAACTGAAAGGATTCTTGATTATGTGCAGTCGATGTATGGGGCCCTACCAGGTAATCATCATTGGGAGGATCTCTATATTTCGTTACATTTATTGATGATTTTTCTATGAAAGTTTGAGTGTATTTCTTGAATAAAAAATCTGAAGTATTCTCTAAATTTAAGCTGTGGAAAGTTGAGATGGAGAACCAAACTAGCAGAAAGGTCAAGTATTTGAGATATGATAATGACACATAGTACACAGGTTCGCAGTTTCAGAAATTTTGTGAGGAGCATGAGATTTAGAGATATTTTTTAGTGCGCAAAACACCACAACAGAATGGCGTTGCAGAAAGGATGAACAGGTCATTACATGAAAAGGCAAGATGCTTGAGACTGAAAGCAAGACTTTCTAAGAGTTTCTGGGCAGAGGCTGTGAATATGACATGATATCTAATCAATAGATCACCTCGGGGGCATCGTTAGGTGGCAAGGTCGCAGAAGAAGTATGGACAAATAATCCAGTTAATTTCTATCATTTACGATTTTTTGGTTGTTCTACTTATGTTCATGTACCTAAAGTGTAAAGATCAAAACTTAATGCAAAATCCAATAAGTGCATCTTTCTGGACTACGAGAAAGGTGTGAAAGGATACAAGTTTTGGGATCTGATTGCAAAGAAGATGGTGATTAGTAGAGATGCAGTTTTTGTTAAATTATTCATGATGCAGCAGAATCAAGACAAGGTACAAGGGAACAGTTCTAGTTCAGATACAGTGCAGATGGATCTAGAACAACATCCAAAAACAACTGAAAGAGTTGAAGGTTCAAATCCAACACCTGGTGACTCCAATACAGATAATTTGCAGAATTATAATCTAGCTAGAGACAGATAGAGACGCACCAATATAAGACCTCCTAGCAGATTGGGTTATGAAGACTTGGTCTCTTGTGCACTTCTCATCAGTAGCGATGATCCAACCACTTTTCAATGGGAGCTAGTTCAACTTTCTGAGGGAAAGAAGACTATTGGGTGCAAATAGGTGTACAAAAGAAAACCAGCAGTATCAGAAAAAGACGGGGAAAAGTTCAAGGCTCGACTAGTTGCAAAGGGACTTTCGCAGCAGACGTTCACATCAGAAGGTTATGACGAAATCTTTTCTCCTGTGAGCAGACATACTTCAATCAGGGCAATGCTTGCATTAGTAGCTATTTGGGATTTGCATTTGAAGAAGATGGATGTTAAAACTGTTTTCTTGCATGGTGATTTAGAGAAGCAGATTTACATAGAACAGCTAGAAGGGTTCACTCAACTTGGACAGGAGCATCTAGTTTGCAGATTAAAGAACCGTTTTATGGGTTGAAACAGTCTCCAAGACAATGGTACAAGCAGCTTGACTCTTACATGATTCAGATTGACTAGAAGCGATATGAGTATGCTTGATGTATTTATATGAAGAGTTTTGATGATCGTGATATTATTTTTCTGCTACTGTATGTTGATGTTACTGTATATTGACGATATACTAACTGTTGCAAAGAATATGAATGATGTCTGTGGTTTGAACTGCTACTGTATGTTGACGATATACTAATTGTTGCAAAGAATATGAATGATGTCTATGGTTTGAAAGCTTTATTGAGCTATAAATTTGACATGAAAGACTTGGGTCATACAAAGAAGATTTTAGAATGGAGATTCATTAACATAGAGACTCAAGACGATTATGTTTATCTCAACAGGTTTGAGATGAGCAAAGCAAAGCCTGCGAGCACTCCATTAGCAAATCATTTTAAGCTTTCTTCAAAACAATATCCTAATACAGATACAAAAATCTAATGTTCTAAGACAGATACAAAAATTGAAGATATGACAAAGGTTTCATATGTCATTGCAGTTGGCTGCTTGATGTATGTAATGTCAAGTACTCGCCCTGATTTGGCTCATGTGTTAGTCAAGTCTGCAAATACATGTATAAACCAGAAAGGCGACATTGGGAAGCAGTCAAGTGGATTTTTAGGTATCTGAAGGGTACTGTAGGACATGAAATTATTTTTGGCAATCAGCAGAATGATTTTTCAATTGTGGGGTACGTTGATTCAGACTGTGCAGGTGATTTGGATGACATAAGATCTACAATTGGGTATGTGTTTACTCTTGGTGGAGGGCTTATATGTTGGAAATCAATATATTAGTCTATTGTGACATTATCTACAAATGAAGTTGAGTACATGACAGTAGTTGAAGCTGCAAAAAGAAGTCTTATGGCTTGTTGGGCTAGTAAAGGAACTGGGCGTCGAGCAAGGTGGAGTTCAGTTACATTGTGATAATCAAAGTGCTACCTATCTGGCTAAGAACCAGGTGTACCATGCGAGAACTAGGCATATTGATGTCAGGTATCACAAGATCAAAGAATTGATTGCTTTTGGTGAGATACTGTTGTAGAAGGTTCATAATGATGAAAATACAGCTGATGTGTTGACCAAGTCAGTTAATATCAACAAGTTTTTGCATTGCTTGGACTTGTTCAATGTTTGCAGTTGCTAGAGAAGCATGGTGGCCCAACCTACTTCAGTGTGTAAAAAACTCCATGATGTATTTCTCCTAAGGAGCTGAATATTCGCCAAGTTGGAGATTTGTTAGGTATGACTCATATATCATATAAGGGACAGATGTTGGAACGAAGCAGAGCAGAGCGAAAGAATCTGTCAAATTAGTGGAGTTTCGTTATGTGAGTTGGGGGTGGGGGGCAACGCCCCGCAGTACGGTGCAGAGATAATTTTGTAATTACATATTGTACTTCAAGATTTACTTCAGGGCTATATATATGTTTGTTTGTAACCCTTGGGAGTATCCCATATTTTGTAACTTTTTTCTTGAGTTGAAAGAAAGCGATCGCTCTGCTCCCGACGGCGTATACATCTTTACCGAACCTCGTTAAATCTCTATTTGTTCTTCTGGATTTGTGTCGATTCTTGTTTTGCTTTGCCCTAATTTCTCAACATATCTGATGTTAAATGAGGTTATGGTTGTATTTCTAGCTCAATTTAAGTATTTGAAATAATATTGAATTTTGATATGCTAGTGGATGATCCCTCTCTTACATATAAAATTTTGGACAAAATAGATGTGCAACTGATATTTGAGAACAGCCTGGTTTCCATGAAAGCTGATATTTGAGAACAGCCTGATTATTTGTTATTTTAAACTTATTCACTAAAAGTTTGATAATTAACATGCTCATTTAATTATGATTTAGTTATTTATTTAATGACTATTGAAATTTTCTTGTGGCAAATTCTCGTTACTTGTGCACCTTAAAGTTCCTTACATTATTACAATTGTAACGAATATCAAACAACTAGCTAGAAACAAAATTATATATATATATATA